AGGCGAAAGTATGGTTGCGGTGCCTGCGCAGCTTGCGAATACGGTAGATGTTAGCTCATCTATCGCTCGCAGTTTTTAAAACTTTTCCTAACTATCATTTACATTGATCTTAAGGACTTTCAAGCTCCATATTAGCTGGAGCCAAATTCTGTGTGGTTTTGTGCTCATGATCACTGTAGTAAATACTTAATACAGCATTTCACACTAGGTCTCCCCTTTCACCAAGACACGGGCTCCATTCGAGCACCTTTTTATCGAAAAAACCTCTTTGTGCACTCAACAGAAGCACTTAAGGGTATAACAATATTGCTCTGGAACTTATAGTTTTGGGTTATTTTGGTCACATTGTGATCTTCATTCGCTAATCGTTAATGTTTGAAAATTGCCAGAAAAATTTAATAACCTTCAAAGCTTTAGTAAACCATTTAACATTGTCTCCTACCAATGCAATTAGTATTTGGAAAATAATGACTTTTGTGACCTAATATAAGAGCTGTAGTAATCTTACTCGGTCTAAAATCTTCTGATTCATTGAATTTCTTCCATTGTAAGATTGAGAACTGTAGATGGAGTATCTTCACATAATGTGTTTTTAGCAGAAATTTCTCAGAAGCAGCGATTTTTGTGGATGTTTACTAACAAGCTAAACCTTCCCTCGCACTTATGAAGAAGTAAATATTAAATACATAGCATATATTCAAATTTTTCTTGTTTTTTCAGCCGTTCTGATTTGTATATGCTAAAGAATTGTAACGTATTGCAAACGAGTAAATAAGTAAATGTATATCAGATGCAGTGGTAGAGCGTAAGCGAAGGAGAGGGAGCGTGCTTGCTCTTACCTCTCCTCTCCTCCCTCCTTTCTTTCCCCGCCTATGTAAGTATTTTGCCCTACCTTGCTCTCCCAGCATTCTCCGAGGATTTTTAATGTCCAATAAGTAGACCCATACATCAAATCAATATCATACATTTATACCTATACACATACAAAAACTTTCAACTTTAGAATATAAGTAAGTTCTTTTACTCTAAGAACAAAGTGAAGATTGCCTTTACGAATGTCATATGTTATTTGGTTCAAAAATGATGCATAGGCAGAACGAAAGCGATTCTCTGGGAAAAACTTAATGCTGGTGCGTGCAGGCAAATGTCCGAGTCGTTTTAAAAACATTTAAAA